TTTATTTGAGAAAAATGTCTATCGAACACTGATCCAACTTTTGTAGAAGTCTTTTCTCGTTTTAGACGTGCACCTCTTGTATATATATATGAAAACAAAAAAGCAACAATCTTAACCAAATAATATCGTAAGTAAACGCGAATGGGAAAAATGTTAGCCTGTTCATATTAAAAAAGGATGTGAATAAATTCGCAATAGTTGGCCATGTTTTTAGCTAAAGCAATTTTGTTTTAGAATAAATATGATATTTCTCTTTCGTTGCTATCGATACAAAGGAAAACACACAAAACAGGGTCTCCTTGAATTACCTTCTACTGTTTTATTATTCACTGTGAAACGGCATTACGATTTTGTTAACACAATACATCAGTGTTTGTAATTAAACGTACTCTAGTCTAATTTTTGTAGCTTTCCATCTTGAAAATTGAAAGAAACTTAGGCTAGACAAATAATTTTCTTTTAATTTTGTAAGGTAGAAACTCAAATATTTTTGTTATGTTTTTATGAATTAAAAGACATTTATAAAAAAAAAACATACATAATTTGATTTATTTTTAATATACCTTTATTTCTTACTATTACATACTAATATTTTAATAGAAAGTATTTAACAATGATAAATTATAAATTATTGAGTATTTTCTGATATCATTATTTCAATTGAAGTTGCACTTTATGATTTAGTTTTAGCCTTAAAACTTTGTTGTATTTGCTCGAGCGTCTTTCCCCTAGTTTCAGGAACGTAATAATATGAACAAATTGTGCCCAATATTGTACAAATGCCAAATAATGCAAATGGCATGTACATACCGAATGTAAGCATCAGGTAAGAAAATATTTTGGAACTAGTGCTGATGTAGATTCCGAAGAAGACGTTCATGATGCACAGGGCTCTAGCTTTGATGCTCGATGAAAAGATCTCTCCAAGCATTATCGTTGGAACTATACCCAAACCAATGGAATAAAATAATACGTAAACTATCATAGCTATAATGGGAAACAGCTGGAAATCAGTTAAATCCGCATCTGTCTTTTCATTGAAGTAAAAATACACGGCAAGAAGAATCAAGATTATTCCCGAACCCAAGCAAGACAACATCATGGAAATTCTTCTTCCCAAAATTTCAATCGCAAAAGAGGAAGCCAGTATTGTTATTACCATAGTTCCGCTAAAGATGATAGCAGACAAACTCGAGGAAAGATCGCTTCCAGACTTCTGAAAAATCATTTGCGAATACATAGAAATCGCTGAAATTCCGCTGTACTGCTGCAAACCCCTTATGAAAATACCAGTTAGCATTGCTCTTCTGTTGCTGGCAATTGTGAAAATATGTTTATAAGTTCCCGGTTCAGATAATTGTCTCCTCACGTCCGCTGTCAACTGTATTAATTCATCTTCGACGTCCGGTTTATTGCGAAGCCATTTCAGCGACTTTCTCGCTTCAGCCTCATCGCCTTTCATTAATAAATAGTAAGGCGTTTCGGGCATAAAGTAAAATATAATGAAAAACATAATTGGTATAATACCAAAAATGGTCGCGGTCGTGCGGATGCTGTAATATGCTCCAATCGCGTTCATTATAAAGTTTCCAAAGTAAATCGCGAAAGTTAAACAATTACCCCAAACACTTCTAACAGCAGGTGTAGCGACTTCTGAAATGTAAGTAGGAACAGCCGCGAATGTACAGGAATCAGCAAATCCGTTGATGATTCTGGCTGCATAGAATATATAAATGGATCCTCCGATTGCCGTCAAACCCCAAGACAGTAAATGGGGCAAAGTTATTAACAGGAGCGTCCTTCTCCTGCCAATCAAATCAATTAAGCGGCCGCTCAGAGGACTGGATAATAAAAGGGCCAAAGCCGGAAATACAGTAAGATACGAAACTTCGTCTAACGTCATTTCATCCGGATATTCTTCATTTAAAAGCTTTGGAATAGATGGCGAAGGCCACGTGAAGAAAATTCCGCACGTGAATGAAACAAGCGTAGCTGAAACATTATAATTATAGTGAAAACTATGAATAAAATAATAATTACTACCTGAAATGATTGCCAATACTTGTGGCCAAATTTGGACTCTCTCCTTTAGACCCATGACTGCAACGCCAAATTTCATACTAATTAATGTTACATGTGCGCCACAAAAAAAGTAATTGTTGACTCGTTGATAATAAACTTGATTATCTCGAAGAATTTAATTGTGCTGTAGTTTTCGTTTCTTTTTTTATTATTATTATTTAACTCACCGACGTTTCATTCGTTTCCTCTCTCTCTCTTTCCCTCTCCCACTCCCTCCATTCCATAATTCCGTTTTATTTTGCATGAATATTCATGCATTTTAAATGGCCAGACTCCGAATGCGAATCTATAAACCAAACTCTCGGTCTCGCTCACTCCATTTACAATTTTGTAATTCCCTCCGGCACTGAAAAGCAAAGAGAAAACTCGAAGCTAAAGGTAAAATCTTTACCACCCCCAAAAACCTTTCAACTATTCATTCATGCAAAAAAAAAAAAAAATAAAGAATAAAAACCTTCCTACATCTCATAATGTGACACTCTTCGCTTGTTCGTCAGGAAAAAAAACTAAATATTTATCAGAGACATTGGTTAATGTTTTAAATTAAAAAAAAAATACATATTTATTATAACATATAATCTAATTCATGAAATTGAAGCAAGAAATCAATCTAGGAACATTTATTTCGGTGCAAAGTTTCTAAACTTTTTCTATTTTAAAAAGAATAAGTAAATAATTATATATGAGTGACACAATCTTTGATAATTTCCCTTTTCTCCCTTTTCTTTCCTTGCATGGACATCTGGATTTCGTCAAGCGTTTTTCCTTTGGTTTCGGGTAATATGAAGTAACACCCAATTATACCAACTAAATTGCACACCGAATAAAATACAAACGGACTCCAGAGGCCGAAAGCCGAGAGTAATGATTGAAAGATCTTCGTGCTGGTGGCTACGCAGATTCCATACAGAATGTTCATGATGGCGAGGGCGTTTCCTTTTACCGACGAAGAGAACAGTTCACCTAACATTAAGGTTGGAACCATGCCCAAACCTAAGGAAAATATAATAATGAAAAGGATCATTCCACCGATAGGGAACCACATCATCTTGGACATGTCCACGTTCGTTTCCATGTTCAAGTAGAAGAAAATTGCCATCATAATTAATATAAGGTTACATCCGATTGCAGATAAAAACATCGCTTTCCGTCTGCCCAGCTTATCCAACAGGAAAGAAGCGAGGAAACTGAAGAGGGTCATAACTGCTGAACATAGAATTGCAGCAGTTTGCGCTGGAAACCCGCCTGCTACTTGGAAAATGTATTGGGAATAGACGGTGAAAGCAGCAATGCCTGAAAATTGTTGAGTAAATCTTGAGACACCTCCGGCAACTATCGCATTTCTATTAGCCTTCACAATGAATAGATCTTTCAGTTTGCTCGGCTCAGTCAACTGTTTTTTTGTGGCATGCAACATTTCTGTAAACTCTTCGTCCACATCTTCCTTCTGCCTGAGCCATTGCAATGCAAGTTTTGCTTCCTCGTGTTTATCTTTCATTATGTAAAAGTATGGCGTTTCCGGCATAAAACAAAACACAACTAAGAAAGCCACCGGTACAATGCCTAATATTAAAGCTGTGACTGTGATGGAGAAGTAGGCTCCTATAACATTCATAAGGAATGATCCTAAGAATATACAGAAGGCCATGGCATTACCCCAGCTACCTCTGACTTTTGGAGTCGCCACTTCACCCACGTACATCGGCAATACCGCATAAACTCCGGCATCTCCAATCCCTGACATCAATCTCGATAAGTAGAACAGCCAAATCGAGTTTCCAAATGCTATCAATGCAAAAGCAAGCATATGCGGCACCGATATAAACATTAACATTGGTTTTCTTCCAATCTTATCAACTAAACGAGCAACTATAAATGACGATAGAACAGCAGCTATGGGCGGCAAAACTGTCAGGTACGAAGCTTCTTCCAGAGACACATGGATAACGTGAGATCCATCCAACAGTCGTGGGATCGAAGGTGAAGGCCACGCGAACAAAGCTCCTCCAGTCAATCCCACCAAACATGCTGCAAAAGAACAATCAATAATTTTATAGTAATCTATTTCAAATGCTGTATTTCCACAATTTTACCGTATTTCTTCCATATGTATAGTAACTAAAATATTCGCAAACAACTTACCTAAAAGTATGGTCAAGATCTGGTTAAAATTAGTATGTTTATTTGCCAAATTGTTCATGTTTTGCAATAAATTGTACGTTTATTACTTATCGCAAAGGCACATTTTTTATCAACTGTTTGTTTTGCTAGACATTTGCTGTTAAACTGTTACGAAAATGAGAGTCACTGCGGATCATCATGCACATGTTTGTATGTTATTAAAAATGTATACCAAAGATTTACACTTAAAATTTGTATTATTCATAATTACTTTGCAAAAGATGCAACCTCTCGTCGAATCTCAAAGTCGAATGGCAGATTTTTTTCTATTCTTATTGCTCGTCAATGATATAAATTTCTCAATCGATTGTTTATCTCTAAGTGCCCGTTGGCAATAGCAGACGACGACCAACAACAACCATAAATTATTGTCATTCTCTTTCAAGAGATTCAAAGACACTCGATTCGACCCATCATGGTAAATTGCAATTGGACATGTTTAGATGTGATAAAAGACATTAAAAAGATCCGAAATTTAGGAGGCAAGTGAAACAAATCATTAAACACGTTATTTAATTGTTAATGAATATGTAGGGAATGGGCACATCGTCAAAGAAATCTTTATATTCACAGTCTCACTGCTACTTTTACTTCATGCACAAAACAAAACCTTTCAACATTTCATAATGTTACACTCTCCGCTCAATCTCAGACTTGCGCTTTAGGAATTAGAATTTATCTGATTACGTAATTAACAAAGCCATTAGTTAACACTTAAAATCTTATATAAATATACACATTTATTATAGCACAAATACAAATGTAATCTAATTTAAACACTTCAATCTAGGAACATTTATTTTGATGCAAAGTTTCTAAACACTTTTTAAAATAAATAAATTATATGTGATTGACACAATCTTTGATCGCTTCCGCTTTCTCCTTCTTCTTTCCTTGCATGGACAGCTGGATTTCGTCGAGAGTTTTTCCTTTAGTTTCGGGTAATATGAAGTAACACACAATTATACCAACTAAATTGCACACCGAATAAAATACGAACGGACTCCAGAGACCGAAAGCTGAGAGTAACAATTGGAAGATCTTCGTACTGAGAGCGACGTAGGTTCCAAACAGAATGTTCATGACAGCGAGGGCATTTCCTTTGACCGAAGAAGAGAACAGTTCGCCTAACATTAAGGTCGGAACCATGCCCAAGCCTAAGGAGAATAGAATGATGAAAATGACCATTCCGGCGATCGGGAACCAAAGCAACTTGGACATGTCTACGTTCGTTTCCATGTTCAAGTAGAAGAAAATCGCCATCATGATTAATATCAGGTTACATCCGATTCCAGATAGAAACATTGCTTTCCGTCTGCCCAGCTTATCCAACAGGAACGAAGAGAGGAAACTAAAGACGGTCATAACTACTGAGCATAGAATTGCAGCAGTTTGCGCTGGAAACCCACCTGCTACTTGGAAAATGTATTGAGAGTAGACGGTGAAAGCAGCAATGCCTGAAAACTGCTGAGTAAATCTTGAGAAGCCTCCGGCGATTATCGCATTTCTATTAGTCTTCACGACGAACAGATCTTTCAGTTTGCTCGGCTCGGCCAACTGTCTTTTCATGGCATGCAACATTTCTGTAAACTCTTCGTCCACATCTTCCTTCTGCCTGAGCCATTGTAATGCAATTTTTGCCTCCTCGTGTTTGTCTTTCATTATGTAATAATAAGGCGTCTCTGGCATGAAGCAAAATACTATGAAAAATACCACTGGTACTATGCCTAATATTAAAGCTGTGACTGTGATGGAGCAGTAGGCTCCTATAACATTCATAAGGGACGATCCTAAGAATATAGAGAAGGCCATGGCATTACCCCAGCTACCTCTAACTTGCGGAGTCGCCACTTCACCCACGTACATCGGTAATGCCGCAAAGACAGCGGCATCTGCAATCCCTGTTATAAATCGGGACAAATAGAACAACCAAATCGAGTTCCCAAACGCGATGAGTGCAAATGCTAGCACATGCGGCACCCCTATAAACAATAATGTCCGTTTCCTTCCAATTTTATCCACTAAACGAGCAAATACAAATGACGATAGAACAGCAGCAATGGGCGGTAGAACTGTTAAGTACGAAGCTTCCTCAAGGGACACATGAACAACGTGAGATCCATCCAACAGTCGTGGAATCGAAGGTGAAGGCCATGCAAACAAAACTCCCCCTGTCAGCCCGACCAAACATGCTGAAAAACAACAACAATGTTAATGTTATAAACACTAAACAATAATTTTCCAAAAATATTCGAAAACAACTTACCCAATAGGATGGTCAAGATCTGATTACAATTACTGCCTTCCTGTACAATTTTATTCATCTTTTGCAATAGTAAGTTTATCACTATCAGAAACGGAGATTCTTTATCAACTGTTTGTTTTGCTTGAGATTTTGCGTTAAACTGTTACGAAAATGAGAGTCACGAAATTGAACGTCACGCACGTGTTTATTTATTAAAAAAAGTTGTATACCGAAGATTTCCACTTGAATTTTGTATTATTCATAATTAAGATGTGACCGCTCGTTGGATTCCAATTGGACTGACGGTGTTTCAGGATTTTCGCGTCCTTTTATTGCGCGTTGATGATTTAAATTTTACAATCGATTGTATATCTAAGGACTACACACACGTAATTGGCGGTTAGGGGAAACAGTTTCTAAGTACCCGCTTGCATTAGTAGACGACGACCAACAACGAACCGACTAAATTATTTATAAAATCTTTTACGTTTGCATTCTTAACGAAAACGTGTAAATTATTTTTCATTCTATTTCTGAATCACGTCAAAGACACGTGACATCCGACCCATCGTAACTATTATTTTCTGTTCAATTTAAGGAAAGCAAATATTATTTTCACAATTAAATGTTAACATTGTTTTAATCTCTTTATACCACACGTTTATTTCGTGAAATTATTTTTCCTTTTCCCCACATTTATCTGTTGACTCTTTCATAATGTGATTTTTAATCAAACAAATTTAGAAAATACAATTAAACTTATTTCATAATTTAAAAAAAAAACTAGCATAATTTACCTCCAATGCTATATCAATCCTTACGATCAATTGTCCGGTCTCAAAAAATATCCTTCCGTAGCACGGAATCTCATTTGTAACTATTATTTTCTTTTCGATTTAAGGAAAGCAAATATTATTTTCACAATTAAATTGTTTCTCTTTATAATTCAAGTTTATCTGTTCACTCTTTAACAATGTGATTGTTAATCAAACACATTTAGAAAACACAATTAAACTTATTTGCACAAAAAAATAATAGTTTATATTATTTACATCATACTTCTTCCAATTCATTTCTTTATATCATTTTTTTTACAATATTCTCCATTATGTTATTAACTATTAGATAATTAATTAGTTGCCACGTGTGAAGAATTGCTAACAACTTTAATTATATTACGTTAAACTTCATTGACAACAGATGGTTTAAGTTAAATTTTCACATATCAACTTATCAAACGACGATTTTTTATACTAATTCACGTTGTATTTCATTAATTTATTAAAAAAATGAGAATTACACTTAGAAACAACAATAAGACGTGTATACAAAATAAACAGATTATTTACCTATTTATATTAGGATTTATTTATTTTAATATTAGTTTGAAGGTTTAAACTTTAAAGAATCAATATAATTTCGATCTGGATTTGAATTCATTCTCGATGATGTAATTATTACTTGAATTGTTAAAATATAAACAAATTCTTTAAATTAAATGAAGAAGTGCAATTTAGTAAGATAATATTGTTGTTTTATTTTCTGTAATCGTCACAAATGTCTAACCAAATTTTCAAAATTTTCTCCTCTTCGATGTCGTACATCTTCTCGAAGAGCTCCCATCCCGGAGCAGCAGTTACCAATAGGTAATCAGAATTTTCTGGATGCTGAAGACTGGTGTACGCACCTAGTATGAGGGATTGGCATAATCTTCCCATGACGCAAACCTTAAATTCGAAACGTAACAAATGATCCGTTTGTGTGCGGACTTTAAAATAATCACTTACTTTCAACAAAGAGATTTCCTCCTGGCTCACGTTCCTAATACTCTGATAACCGGCCAAAACATGTCCACCGATAGTAACATCATGGCCAACTATCATCATGTACGTCATTGCCACAGCGAGCTCGTACAAATAACAGGATTTATGGCTGTCGCCGAAGTCCAGTATTCCTGAAATCCTCCAGTTACGATTCTCCTGGACCACAACAATGTTTTGTTCATTGAAATCGCCGTGAATGAAACCCCTTGGAAAGGAGTTACCGGAAACGCGCTTCTCGAATTCATTGATGCACACTTCCAATTTTCGCCTTCTCTCATTCTTATCAACTGCATGCACGAATTGCCTTAATTGAGGAACGGAATCCAACATCCAGAGCGTCTTGTACGATTCGTAAGAAGTATGCGTGAAACTCTAAACATTTTAAGATGAGTCTTTATTATAAAAATAAACTTAATTAATTTACCTCCAATGCTGTATCAATCCTTGCGATGAATTGTCCGGCCTCGAAAAATATCCTAGCATAGCACGGAATCTCATGGAAGATTTTACCTTTAAGATATGTCATCAATCTAACTACATGTCTTCCGCTTTCCAAATCAACGACGGAATAGTGCATCTTTTCTTTATTGGTAATCGGCGTTGGGCATTTGATACCGTTCTTGTACAAAAAAAGCATCATTGAATTCTGGCCTTCAACGTTCTGCAGGTTTTTGGAATCCAATGAGTTCATGATCTTCAGCACGTACGTCTCTTCGCCGATCTGCACCTTGAAATTTCGATCGTCGTATCCATTGAGTTCACTTAGATTTTTACACGGAAATCCGTAAAGGTCTTCGATCAATTTCACGCATTTCTCACTCTCGATAATTGGACGGATCTCCACTCCGGGCTCGAGGAGAGTTGTCATCGTTGTGGTTCCTTTGCCCGATGGAGTTAGTTATTCAATAATTGATAATTGAGGCGTCCATTAACGTCTGTTAATCTAAAGTGGCTTCGCCATTCGAAAACGTTAAATGACTCTTTAGGGCAGCCTTTTATTTTATCAATACGCAAACAAGAATGTAAACGAAAGGTCATGCGGTATCAACTTTGAATGTGTCTGCTTATCATAATCAAGTATACGAGATTATATAATTTATCTTCAATTGCCGATATACACTGAGCATTTGTTTTTATCCTAAATAAATATAGTTTAATATAGTATTTTTTTTATACTAATCATTTTAATATTGTAAATTTGTTGATTAATTAACATCAAAGACACTCAGTCGAGTTTATAATACAAGATATAATATCTTAAAAAAGCTGTTTCTTAAATAAATCTAGAAATATATGAGTTTTCGCAGTACAAAACAAAATCAATATCAAACTAATCTCACTGTCATCAAATGTCAAACATTAAGTTTTAAAAAATATCATTTCGCTCTTAATGATACATAAACATAATTGAAACCGGTAAAAGAAAAATCTCGGACATTTCCTGGATCCTCTAGCATGGTTCATGTCCCATAAACTTGAAGTGCCCACTAAACCATTAAAACTGCAATTAATTAGTGAGTGCAATGTATAGTATATATTATATAATTTGATGATCAATTCTTGATTTGTAGTCAATGATGAGATTATGGATTTACAAGGTGACAGTGTGAATATTCGTCCGAGAAGGTATACNNNNGCCAGAGATAGACCGTAAGGAATCTTTAATCAAATGAATTGAAATTAGGTGGTAAAATATATGTTGTAGACCCGTAGAGGGTTTGAAAAAATTTGCTTTCAACTACAAGAATTCCGTTGGTAAATTGCAATTGGACAAGTTTCGATATGACAAGAGACCTTTAACAGATCCTAGATTTAGGAGGTAAGTGAAACAAGTCAATATGAACATTGTTAAGATTGATAATGTATATGTAGGGAACGGACAACATCGCCAAAGAAATCTTTACATTCTCAGTCCGACTGCTACTTTACGACTACCGCCAAAGATCAACGACCAGTTTCGCAGTCGGCACCAACGTTTTCGTAAATATCATTAGAACGTTGTTTTCTTATTAAATCAAAAACGTTTTAGTCCTGCTAAAAAGATGGTTCTCGCAAATGCAGAGAAAAAAGGGGATGTTCCTTTGGTGGAGGTAATCACTACTACAAACGAAAGGTCCACCTCGACTTCTCACGCAGTTCAGGATGTCGCCATTGCAACGGTCACTAAATCTGGAAGTGCTGGAAAAAGTTTCAACGACAAGAGCATCAACAATACCATTTCTGACAAGTTCGTTAGGTAATAATAATTATCTCGTGATCATTAAAACCTAAATTTGATTCTCCTTTATGCTCCAGTATAAATAATAGCGTTTACGACCAGGACAACAAAAGTCTGACACTATCATCGCACAAATCAAATAACAATAAAAAACGGTACATCGATTGCATTGGTTAAACTTTAGAATTTGGTATTGTTGTCGAGGAAAATCTTCAAAAATTGTAGCAAGCCCTAAGCGACATTACACGATTCTAACGTTTTGCATCATTGCGCTTAACAATTTGTATAATGCAAATATGTTTAGGAAGTTTGATTGGAATGGGCGCAAAGTAAATGTGAACTATATCTCGAAAAGTACTTATTTGGAGGACCCACGTCTGCTCGCTAAATATGCTAATCTCTTTACTAATTCTGGTCTGAAAAAAACAAAGAGTTCGATGACGATACCATTCGCAGTAGCAAAAATGCCCGAAGGGTTTTGCATGTGCATGAAGTGCTCCTGCGTCAAAAACAATTCTTATGACTATGATGGAGCTACAGATATTGGAAGCGCTTCTCTTGTTCTGCATAGAGATGAACTTCTGAAACAACGTAAACCATTTAAATATTATGTAAATTCCAAGAGTAATTGTATTGTTCTCTACATAGATTTTGCTGGTTATCCATATTACATGTGGATTTTCTATACGATTGGATGCATGTGTGGTTTGTCACTTGTGGCCTTGCTTGCTTGGATACTGTCAAATGATTTTCTGTGGAGTTTCGTCAATAAACCGGAGCCAGATCGGAAACAATTTTCAAATAATCTCGTAAATTACTTGGCTGGCTCTTTCCTTTATGGCATAAATTATTTTATTGGAAATTTGTACAATTTCTTTGTGCTTCCGGTGAACGTTTGTAATGCATACAATTTATCAATATTGACTGTAGTTAATTGCAGAGAAACGCAGTTTTTAGACAACAAGAGGATCAACATTCGTGGATATTTAATGGATAAAATTGAATAAATAAAATTACCAAATAATTGTTGTTTATTAACTTGTATATTAGTTATACATCGGATAATCTATAACTTAAGACCTCCTGTTGAATGTGCTGGTGGCTGGCTGCGTAAGCTGCAAGCCCATAATGTTGTTGAACTCCAACATCCTCAACATTTCTCTGGTCTCTGGGTCGACTTCAATGATGTCATGCTCAAGAGCAGATACCTCTGGGACGTAGTTGTCGCGTCTCTCACGCTCCTCTTCTTGCAGTTTGATGGAGATACCTCTGACTTGGGAGTGACGGAGACGTTTCATCAAATGGGTGACGAAACCAGCGATTTTGTTCCTCAGGGGTTTGGTTGGGATGATGGCAATCTCCTCGCAGATGCGTTTGTTGGTGTGGAAATCCAACGTAAGGCGGGTGTAATATTTCTCAATAATCACCTTGGAAGCCTTCTTCACAGTCTTGGTACGTACACGACCCATGGCTATAACAATAAAACAATGCTTATTCGTCCATTTATATACATTTTTATGGTTATATTTGGTAAAAACTTACTTGTTTATGTAGCTTGATGTGCTGACAAGAAACGTGGTCTTCGACAGTTTCGCACGGAAAGAGGTTGGTGCAGTGCGTTTCCTATTGACGCCAGCATGAAAAACTAAATTCCCCTAACTTACAACACAAAAAACCCCATAACTAACTACTTCAATAGGAAACACCAACAATGAAAACATAACTTTAATTTCTTTAAATACATTATATACATATTTTTCTAATATATTTTAATATTAAGAATACAAATATTCTTATTAATATATATTAATTTATCATAAAACATAATAATAATAACATGATAAAAAATGACACAAATTATACTTGATAAACACTTTAGAAACAACAGAAATTACATTAAGTAACAATAATAAGAACAATCCACTATTGTTGTTAAGCATTGTTAATTCTCAAATAGTAGTCAATTAAATTATATTATTTCATATAAAATAATATTTAAACGCCACATATCTTCATACAATTGAAGGACAATCTTTGTTATATATGGCGCATTTATTATGAAACCGGTTCAAGAACAATTTTCTTCAGATCAATATATTTAAATGATTGCACCCAATCCATTAAAACGTATTTATATATTATGATTGTCAATGTAAATTCATTATTCTTATCATTAATATGATAATTCTAAGTCACATATTACTTTTCTCACCAAAAAATAGATTTTTATTTAAATTATTATTAACAAATTATTTATAAAATTATGATTAAAGTATCTTTAATTATAGCATAACAACAATAATATTAAAAATATGTTATTGTTTTATAAAGATATTTATAAATATAATAATTCTTTAAGAAAAATAATTAAAAATTCTTATTGGATTTTAGTAGTAATTGGTAATTATGATCATCATAGTGTCGTGTCCCAGGGATGGAATTCTGGACACAGTGGAATATTGTCTATGTTGTCGTTGTGGAGTCTCAATAGTTGGGAATTTAATGAAATTCGTTTGGTTTTACATAACTTTATTCGTTACTTGGTCTTCTGCTGAGATTATGCTTGTCCTCAAAGGTTCTGCTGAGACTATGTTTTACTAAGACTGATTCTAAATACTAATTCTAATTACAAAGTTAATTCTTATTAATACGGGGTGGGAGTTGTGATTTAGAGTAGGGTTTGTATATATTGATGATTAAGCGTTTCCACGGGATTCGGCCTTGGTGTTTTCTTTATTATAAGACCGGAACAAAATCCTATGCATTTGCTTATATGAAAAAGATGATCGATTACGATTGTACGTGTAATGATCATTATGTATTTCTAATAAGGACTTGAATTCGGACTAAAGGTATAGGAGTATCGATGGTAATGTTTACGCTTGGTCCCCTTTATGCTGATGCATAAGTTTATATAATAATGGGACTAAGAGACGTCGTGGATGTCTCTAGTTCGTTAATACACTATATTAACAATTATTATAATAATAATGGTTGGACACAACAATAGTATAAATTATACATCATTTACTTAATTTCATATTTATATTGTATTTATGTCTAAATAAACGAAAAACATTGACTTAAACATAATCATTGTCGTTAGGTAGAAAGGGACTAATACTTTTTGCAAATAAAATATTGACATTTGTAATTGTTGTATATATTTCTTTGTTAAAGATATAATTCTAAATTTTCACCATATTATTGATTGATTGATTGATATTCAAACCGAATCAGTGGTAATACCTTGATGCAAACATATATATATAATATATAACTGTATTTTCACCATGAAGAAGCTTTGGGAAAAGAACAAAAAGTAATATTGGTTGCATACTACAAGGATCGTCCATTTTGTCGATGATCTAGTGTCGCGTTAAGGAGGTGGCGTCACCTGGTGGCTGCCAACGTCTCCTATATATGCAAGCATGAGTGGTGGTGGTGAGTATTCTATACAGAAACTTTGAGAGACAGTAAGGTGTGTTCGAAAGGCGCAAAGCAGAACAGGACCCATACTTCGTGTTTCCAGTGCGATTTTGATTCCGTTTTTTCGTTTCGTTTGTCAATTATTATGTTTATTAGTGCCAGCGAGGCATTGAATTCAGATAGTACGGAGAGTAATATATCAAGTAATTTATTTAACGAAGCCATGCCTGCATTAATCAAGACCAATCAGTTGTGAGTATATTATCAGTAGTTTTCTCTTTTCTTATTACAACGCTCTCCCATTCTCACTAGCAATGCCATCCATCTAGTATCTTTTGTTTTGTGCAACGCCGCATTGGTGCGATTACGCACTCGATTTACGTCACTCGTTGACGAGTTTTTTTTTTCTCTGTTCCTTCCACCTCGAACGTTTAGACTTATTTTATTTGATGCGAGAGAAAAAAAAATGTATGACTCTATCTGGAATTTATCGTTTCGCGCTGAACCCATTCCATTATTCATATTGTAACTAGATAAACATTATAGTATAAACATATGGGTTGGCACTACTGCGAAACAATAGTATTTATTAATTCTCGGATAACAATTATCATATCGCAATTAATATAAACAAATTTGTTTTTGCATGCACTCCAGTATACACAACTAATGCAAAAATTGCGATTTCATACAACTGTTTATCAAAAGAAAAGAAAATGACACAGAAGGAATTCTGATAAGAACGCGTATTGTTTATAAAACTTCTAGAAGGTTTCCTGTTGCCTTCCCTCTCACCTCACGTTCGTATTTATGCTTGGACGAAAGGCTATATCGCATCGCGTCGTCGATGTAAACAAAGGCCGCTGGAAAAGTACTGGATGAAGCTCAGCTGATCGCATATTGATCCGAGTTCTATTTTCAAAACAAAACCCAACGATGTATACCAACTACTAAAACAATTGCATCGGCACGTGCCTTACTAATGCCAATTGCGTTTTATTTATTCTAAATTCGTGTGTGTCTTCCTTTATTGCCACTGCGGAGTTGTTTTTTTTGGCGAAACTTCTTATTTTTGCACGTAAACAAACGTAACTGTCCGTTTTCGCAAAATTAAACTTGGCAAACGCGTGTAACAATTGACGTTCGTTATATAAATCTCACGTTGGCATCGCCAATCCCATTAGAAACAAGTGCTACGTGCGTCTATTCCTTCCACCCTTTAACGAAATTAAAAACAATTCCATTTTGTAGTCGGCACGTGAAAAAATGTTTGCGTCTGCGGAATCTACTTGCTATACGCATTTGCTGGGAGATTGTAGAAGTTATGGCGTTGATTTCTAATTTCTAGACCTTGCACTTTTACTCAAATCTATCAGAGTTATGTACAGAAACTAAGTGCATAACTTTCCATTAAAAAAAAGATATTAGTATGTAATTTAAATTTGCTTCTCTTCGGATTTATACTAAATAAATATATCTTAATAGCTTCAAGGTTTTTTTGATGTACACAATTTTATTTACTTGCATTTACATTCCTTACTATGTTTATCGCATTATATATTCTTCATTTTGTAGTTTACGTATTTATATCAGTAACTTTGTTTGTTAAAAAGATCTACAACTATACAAATATTTTGGTGACCGGACAAATCAGAACATCACTGAAAACAACACGCCAAAGTAGAACAAATGACAAAACGTTATATTCAATCTTTGTCATTTGTTTATTCCAATTTGCTTGAACTTTAATATTTCTGTTATTATGTTCTGTTTTGTCATTTGTTCTTCTTTGTTGTGTTTTGTTTTATCGCTGTACTGCTTTGTCGTGGAACCAAATATTTTTATAGTATAAACGATTAAATATCGATCTAAATATATGCATTCACAAAACTATAAATAGAATATTAGTAAATTTTATAACATTACAATATGTTTCTTTATTCGAACTACGCGTTTTTACTACTACTTATTAAGTAACGCGTGATCTAAAACTGAAGTACATAGAAACATATCAACTAGGAAAATATCTGATTAAAAATAGTTATTTAATTAATAAAAAAACATAATTTGTTTAATTAATAAAGTATACTAAAATACTATCTTTATTATTCGTATCTAGTAGATAAACGTGTTTCAGCTTAGCTTATCACAATAAATGGTTTCGTAGTTTTAGTAACAACGTTTATATTTCAGAATATACATTATATGTTTTAAAAGTAATTACTATAAAAATTGTCAATTCACAAACATGTTTAGTAAACAAAACTAATTGTTGATTCTTTGGAAAACAATGCAAATGCAAAGACGTAATTAAGTTTCAGGGAAAACAAAAACCAAATTATTTCTAATAAGCATTATTCTTGTTCGCACTGACAAAATAAATATTGCAGTAATTGCTTGCTAATTGTAAACGATGTTTGCGAATAATAATATTGTAAAAGAGGCCCCGACTCCTTCAGATTTATTATTACCTCAGTACAATTTAATCTTTATTGCAGCAGTCTTAAACAGACCACGAGCACTAATCTAATCAATAAAGTTTGTTATCTAACGTGGATTCAGCAAATTGCTTCTCTTCTTCAATTCATTCATTGCAACTTACTCATTTTTTTTTTAAATCACTCGCGGTTTGTATTGTACACCGGTCCCAATTGTCCGACCTTATTCTCTATAAATACCTGACTTTATCAAAGGCAAAAAAAAGAGAGAGAGAGAGGCAGAGTCAGGTCGTATCAACCTAACGCGGAGTTTTCTGTTCGAAGTCTCGTAACTGTAATTACTGCGTCGCATTTTTTTTTTGTTTGTTTCCACGAAGATAATTATAGCAATTGGTATCATCGACACTCTACAGCATTTAAGCAATTTTCCTATTGATAAGCACTCTTTTTTTTTTCTTCTGTTCGTGTTTAATTAACGTAACAGATGTGTTACTAAGCAAGAAGTAATAATAGTTGTTATTCAAATTTTGCAATTGAACTTGGTGACACCAACGAGGATCGACTGTTCATCTGAAATTCATTAAGTTGTTATATTTTATACGCAGCGTTTTAGTTCATTTCTAGATAACAGAATAAAGGTCTGGCCTTCATTTGCAAATATCCGCGATAAGGACAGAGCTGCGTCCCACTTAGACGCACATCGAGCCTGAACGCTTCACCACAATGAAGAAAAGTGAACGTCTGCGGTCTTCTCGTCCTCTAAAAGTCCAATTATTTCAAACATTTAAATCAATTACTTATGAAACGAAACCAAATCCGTTTGATTTACCAGCTTGAGAAAAAAAAACCTTTATAATTTGTTCTAAAATAATTCTCCAACTACACAATTATGATGAATTAAATCTTGAATTTGTATTTGATTCCTTGATAGTTTAATATTTACTGTATAAAGGACGAAAACCATAAGTACCAATAATGCTTTTGCAATACAAATGCGTAATTGCACATAGTTTCTTTTAAAATTTCCAACTGTAATTTATTCACATTGATTATGTTTTACATTTTGTAACCGAGGAAATGAGAGTGAATACCGTACATTTTATGACCTCTTAACCCACAACATCCTTGAAATGCTTATTAAATTTTATATTATTCATATAGTAATATTGTTTTAGTAAACATGATTTTTTTAACAGTTTTTTTTTAAATGCGGTATAATTTTTGTGGAAAGACGACGGTCGATAGTCATTGAGCATTAAATAAGATTTACAAATAAATAAACAAATTTATCACGTCAAATGTATACACATTTATACACACGTATACACATTTTATATCTTACTAAGTAGACAAACAAAGATAGATATTATTAAAATCAATAAATGAATCAGAATGGAAATTTCAAAATCTTAGTGGTATTTCCGTGATAATCTATTGCGATGTTTAGTAGATGTAGCGATGTAGTCAAGAATGAATTTAAATATACAAGTACTGTGGAACGAGCATTTTGCTGTATTGTATATTACTTTAGTTTATATGGAGATAATTGTTGGAATTGTTATATTTGCCTTAATTGATTGATATTTAAATAACGTGTTTGTAAAACAAATGAAAATATAGAAATAAAAGTTGAGCGTTGTGATTCATTGAAATAATCTATTACTTGTTTGATAAAATGTATTTAATTTGTTTTGTTTTTGATGTTCCAGAGAAAGTTTTATGCTGAGTAGTAAGCGTTCCGCCGACAGCGAGTCTTCGCCTGCGGCCAGCCTCAGTAGTTCCATGTCTCTGGGTGCAGGGCCTCTGTGGTGGTCCTGATGCCCCTGGACCGACCAGGGGCGCACCGCCGCCGCTGCGGCTTACTTTCCGCACGGGCCGTCAGCCCTGGGATGCCGTGCTTCGCGGCAGGACTCTTTACATCGCCCTGCCGCCATGCATGCTCCCAGAAGGCTCTCGCGAGGCGTTCGTCTCGCTGCTCGAGGCTGCCGAGGATAAACTGAACTGTCAACATGTCGTCGTGGTTAGTAGTAGTAGCAGTAGTATTCCCAAAAAAATATTGATGAATCGTTTGCGATGACTTCATTCTATTATCTTTTTCGTGTTTTTAGGTGTTTTCGAGCGATCGAAGCGACCGATCCATGCTGATCAGGACATTCATGTTCCTCGGCTTTGCAGTGCTGTCTCCGACTAGTCCCATCGTGCCCCCAACACAGGCTACCGGAAACATTTGCATGCTCTACAACATCGAGTAGTCCACCCCCAGCCAGGCCTCGAGCCCCTCCCACTCAACAACACACGCCCACTGTCGTAATCCCTTACTCTAAGAAATAATTCAAGAATACAACAGCTTCGCGTATGCACCAAATTCACGGATCGCATTTTACAAATCCACAGTTTATATCATTATTTTTTTTTTGTTTATTTCTAGAGATAGGGATTACATCATATCTTGTCATTACTTTCCTGTTTGTTTAATTATTTTAGCGGTGTTATTCGGTAGATGGTAAACTATAGTTTAGGTATTATTATTTTTTTTCCCCACGAGACTAATTACGAGATGCTTAATCTAAATATATAATAACGACAGTCCGCGGCCTTGGGAGGGTGACTTTAAAAAAAAAATGCGTGAAATTAAGTCTTAGCAATGTGCGGTTAGATACATGCCCCTTAACAACATTTAATATACAAAATAAAACTTATAAAAACTTAAAAAAAAAATACAAAAAATGTTCGAGTAATAGAAAAAAAAAACAACTAAATATATATATATGAGATTTATTAAATAATGTAAAAATTTAGTTCGTACATCGTTTTTCTTAGTTTTTTAAATCATTATGGATGACTTTCGAAAGTTGAGTGATCTTTTGTAATGGTGCAAATTAAACTTTTTTTTTTTGTTTGTTTTCCTTTTAATTCTATTATTATTTCGTTTCGTGACAGTATTTTCTTTTGTTCTTTTTTTTTTATTCTGTTCGAGTTTTTACGTTTTCTCTTTGACAATCCATTCGATCGTTTTTATTTTTCATTCCAGTTCGGTTTCCAATAGCTTCTTACTTCAACTTGTAATAGGCGACGTAATTATACTTAACATTTAAAATATATATTAACACAACAATATTAGTTTATTTTTAAATCATATCCTCTTCTATGCATGACTATATAATCCATTGGTCGATAATTTCACCGCATAAGAGTTCATTGAATTAGATAATTGATAACTAAATTTCTAAAGAAAGTATGGTTATCAATTACAGTGGAATCTCACTTAAAGACCAAAATAGAATATAACAAAAAATGACTCGCTTAACGAGCGAGGTTTCGCATTATCGTATTTTACATAACTTTATATGAACTTTTTCACTATACTGGATTTTGGAGTGGATTAGACTCGTTAAGCAAGGTTCCACAATTATGCAAGTATTCTGGGATACTTATTTTTCAAGTCTCATGAATTTCATGTACAAAGCTATCATTCTTTTTTAAATATTTGGTCTGTTTACTTTGGCAGAATCACTATTAATTAACTTATATAGATTGTGTAAATATACAATGTATAATATATAAAAATTCTTAATCACAATGTATTTGAGTCTTACATTTTGTCAGTGATGGAACAAGAATGGCGCCGGAACCTTCAATACAGGTAGCCCAAATAAAAGTGTGTTTGTGACGCTCAAATAGTAAAATTAACTGGTGTATAGAACACATGACTTTCTTAATGTGGCCCTTCGAGAACCGTTAGGGCTCTATGATTTTCTCTCTTTTAAATCAATGCATTCTGTTGAGCCTTTTGATTTCACTTATGCCAAGGAAGGTTTTATAGTGGAACCTTGTTTAACAAAACAAATTGTAACAAAGATGATTCGCTTAACGAGAGACGAGAAATCCCGGATTATACTACATCATTTTCCAAACTTGTGTGACTTTCTTTGTGCTAAGTTTAAATAACCTTGCAAATATGTCTCTGAATGAAAAGCCGCAAGAAGACAAGTCTTAAGAGTATTAAAAAGTGGGTCTATATCGCTAGCCCGACAACCGAAAGATCGTCTATTGAAATCCCGACTATATACTTTTAAATTGTTAAAGTTTATTATAAACAATTCAACAAAATCAAATAAATTAATCATAATTTATTGTTATTAATAATAAAAGTGTAGACTACAAGGTGACTACGCTCCGAAATAATTTAAAAATGTTATTGTAAAAAATTTCGATATAGTCGGGATTTTGATACAGTCGAGATTTTGATAAAGTCGGAATTATGTTTGTCGAGATTTTGATATAGTCGGGATTTCAATAGACGGTCTTTCGGTTATCTGCCTTGCGATATAGACCCTTATAAAGTATCATAAACAATAAACTAATTATTTTGATTTTCTTGTTTTCAGCAAATTAAAGATAAAATGATTCAAGCTTGTTAACAACGTGTATACATTTTACTTTGAATAAACATTATTCACAATGTTTTTTTCGAGATAGAAAATACGAGAAATTTTACATTATTTTTTTATGGGAAAAAAAATGTTTCGAGTAAGAGTCTGGAACGGTTATATACTACTCATTAAGCGAGGTTACACTACCGTTGTTCAATGAAGATTTTGTTTTTTCCACGGGCCTATATTAAAATCCCGACTACCATAAAAATATTATTGTTGAAATTTATAATAATAAATAACACTGTCGGGATTTCTAACGACGGGATTTCGGTTGTCGGGCTTGCGATTGCCACCGGTTTACTTATACGTAAAGATAATTTTATGTCAGATCAATAATTTTGCTATTAAAATATATTGATACGGGTGGATTTATTTTACAAATGTGAACTCATATTCACATGTTTATGGCTTCCATTATGCCAATTTTAGTGTTATGGTCACAGTATGTAGGGTCCACAAAAAACATTCGAATTAGGATTCAAAAATTCATATTTTCTTATAGTATTTTCTACACTTATTCTTTATTTTGAATAACAATTTTACAAGGCAAAAATTCAGTTCTTAATACCGATTAAGCTTTTGCTGTATATATTTCAAATTATAAATAAAATAACTCAACTGAATCATTGTCTATTGTTAGAAAAATAATCGTTTATTCTTTAATTAGTGATTAAAATGTCGCATCGAAAGATATGATCATCCAGATTTATTTATTAATCAAGGAGTAAATAGTTGCATTATCGCTCAGGGATTGATTTTGGTGGTCTTTGTGCGATTGCTTAATCCTACGAGGATTCATTTCGCAGCAGTATTCATTGAAGCTTAAGACGTTTTACTGAGAGACATATCCAAACTTAAATAACTACATCATTTTAATAATTCGTTTCCATGAATATCCTATTAGATTTATATATAACAGAAATAATCATTTAAAAATAATACTTTTACCATCTTATTAACGGAATTGATGGAGGAATTTAAAATATATTCCATTTTATATAAGAATTTTATTATAATTCTTAAACCACGTGAAAGGATACATAATTAAATATTAAATTTACATCGAAAATAAAAAAAAGCATTAATTTTAATTTAAATCACTTCTGCATTTGCTTTTCCTTCTTGGCTGCCTCAAGCGCAGCTTCGCTCTTTTCAAATTCCGAAATCAACTCCTCAACTTCCTTGCTCGTCAGTATGTGGACAATGGTCTTGTTGTTCTCTCTGGTTAATGTAGCCATTTCAACTTTTTCTGAAGTCAGCTTGGTCATATCCAATGTTTTGCTCAAAACCTTAATAGCCAAAGCTTTAGCATCCTTCAGAGTGGTCTCGTTCTCCTTGTATTCCTGCTTCAAGCTAGAAACTGCCGCCGAACTGTTGTTGCCAATGCAGGTGGCTTTCCAGCCACTGTAATTGCCACTTGGATCAGACTGGTACAGTTGATATCCATAATGTTTATCCCAGCCCATGTACAGGATGGAAACGCCGAAGGGCCGTTTTCCACCATACTGAGTGTAGGCTTGCTTAACGTCGCATAACCAGGAGACAAGTTGTTCACAAGGAATGGATTCACCATACTGAAGCAAATACCTCTGACCAAAAAGACGAAGCTCATTAGTCAAAACATTGGCATCTGATGTAATTCCAGCTACACTGCATGCCATATCACTAAAACCAGACACAATTACTTCTGATATATTAGTGTTATATTTTTTTTAATTCAAATTACTCATTCAGTTTGTAGATTTTTTCAGACAAGAAAACTTCATCAAGAAGCTTGTTGGTGTTTCTACGCTCAGCTGCTAACAAAATACCATCACTTGCTGTAATTCCTAGGCAAGTTCCAGCATGACTAATAGCTTCCATTGCATATTCCACTTGGTAGAGTCGACCTAAGAATAAGTGCAAGAAAAAATGTAATTACAATATTAAAAAAAATATATATAGTTATACAGTACCTTCCGGAGAAAATATCGTGGTTCTGGTATCATAACGACGAGCCTGTAACACAAAACCGGTAGAATTAAAACGATTTCAAAGCAAAAGATGACAAGCAACAAAATTCAAAACATAACCTTAAAAATTGTTAATTTTCAATTGATTTCAATAAACACAATAAATGTGATACATATAACAAATTGCTAATGAAAGTAATAATTTGTGAATTAAATTAGATGGATTTTAATACCATTTTCTCTGTATTTCCTTCAAGTTTCGATAAAATAAATAACCGAACAGTCACTTCCAATTACCAACAAAATTTGTCTGACTTGAAGTTAGACTTGGTAAGGAAAAACATGACTGACATAGTTCTTAACATTTAATATTAGGTTACACCAATAGGTGGTAGGTTTGAAATTATTACATCGTTAATTCCTATATAAAATAGTACTTAAATGAATGTAATAGGATTTTCAATACTAAAAAGTTGCCAAAACTTAATTATTCAAATAAAATGTTGTAATTAATGTAAAAAGAATGTTCTGATCTTAATGAGAATATTTCCAAACTTTAAATTTTTTTAAATCTAACTATTGAGAAAAGCATACAAATTGATAAAATTATTTTCTAAATAATTTTTTGATAGAAAAATTTACAAAAATTCGGTTGACAGTTAGCCGGAAGTTCGTTTTAAATGGTAGCGCGAAATTTGTAAAATTACTAAAAAACATCATCTACCTTATTATTTTCTCTATGGCAATGATATGTCGCTATTGACGTAGAAAAGATACGAGTTAATTGCCAAACAGATTTTACATGCAAGCCATATTTAAACTGGTATTATATAATTCATCTGGTAGTCGAGTTTGACTAGTGTGGTGTGCGACTGCAATTGCGCAGAGGCTTGTAGATCGGACACTCAGTTCCATTCCGAGTTCTCCATCTTTCTGGCCAGATAGTTTCCGAAATGTCTCTCCTTTCAGCACGTTTGGCCGCCTCCGTGGCCAGAAATTTGCCCAGCACTGCCTCCAAGGTGAGTCCAAACTACAGCCTAAAGTGTCTAGTACTATCGCTTTACGTGGATTTACCCTCAATTTTACCGAAATCTGAAAACAAGTGAACCACACAGAAGTCGGCACACTTGATGTGACATAATCAGTCCTACATAGATAATCGATTTTTCGCAAAGGTACAATTTCTTAAAAGCAGCCCTTGATCATTTAAATTCTCTTCAACTTTGGATGATTTGGGCGTTTCCACATCCCATTTATGTCTCTCAATTCGCGGATTCTTTCAACGATCCCTGCATACTGTGTGTGAGTGTGTGTGTTATATAATCATTGATTGCAATGTGTGAAAAAAAGTAAGCGATCTAAAGTCCTATATCCAATAAGATTTTAGCAATTCTTATTGGAATCTTATTAGATTTTTGTATGAGTCCAATCTTAAGTTAATTTTACTAAATTATATTAAAGATATATATATGTATGTTACAATTGGCTTGATCTGCTTTTCCAATTAGTTGTTACCTTAAAATGTATGTTTTGAATTGGTTAAAAATTACGTAATCTATAACTGTTCAAAGTGGCTGACTTATTACATAATTGATTTTCGGTTTAACAATAAGTGGATTCATTTGTATTATGTAACAGTTTTCAGTGATCTTTTGATTAGAGGGTTTTTGCACATTAAATAGACTCAGTTTGATTGTTTGATGTTAATATTGAGGGGACAAAATGTGCTATAATATATAAAAATGAAGGGTGTTGTTTCCAGATCAATATATTTCTTGTATTGATCTTATTGGAAATGATTCCTTCAACATTCTTCAAAAAGTCTTTAAATCCTTTTGACAAGATTACGTAACTGTCGTATATTCGAGGTTATTATATTGCCTATAATTTTTTTTTAGGTTGTTGCTGCCGCCGCTCCAGCTGTCACTGCTGCAGTCCGCAAGATCCATGTCACCCCAAACAAACGCGGTGCTGAGATCAGCACCATCTTGGAGGAGCGCATTTTGGGCGCCGCTCCAAAGGCTGACTTGGACGAAACCGGTCGTGTCTTGAGCATTGGTGACGGTATTGCTCGTGTATATGGATTGAAGAACATCCAAGCCGATGAGATGGTGGAATTCTCCTCCGGTCTCAAGGGTATGGCCCTTAACTTGGAAGCCGATAACGTCGGTGTCGTCGTCTTCGGTAACGATAAATTGATCAAGGAAGGAGACATCGTCAAGCGTACCGGCGCCATCGTCGATGTGCCAGTTGGTGATGAAATTTTGGGCCGCGTAGTAGATGCTTTGGGTAACGCCATCGACGGTAAAGGACCAATCAACACCAAGCAACGTTTCCGTGTCGGTATCAAGGCCCCAGGTATCATTCCCCGTGTCTCTGTCAGGGAGCCCATGCAGACCGGTATTAAGGCCGTCGATTCGTTGGTGCCAATTGGCCGTGGTCAGCGTGAGTTGATCATTGGTGATCGTCAAACCGGTAAGACCGCTTTGGCCATCGACACCATCATCAACCAAAAGCGTTTCAACGACGCCGACGATGAAAAGAAGAAGCTGTACTGCATCTACGTCGCCATCGGCCAGAAGAGATCCACCGTCGCTCAAATCTTGAAGCGTTTGACCGACTCCGGTGCCATGAAATACACCATCATCGTGTCTGCCACCGCCTCCGATGCTGCCCCATTGCAATACTTGGCCCCATACTCTGGCTGCGCCATGGGCGAATACTTCCGTGACAACGGCAAGCACGCTCTCATCATCTACGACGATTTGTCCAAGCAAGCCGTCGCTTACCGTCAAATGTCCTTGCTGTTGCGTCGTCCACCAGGTCGTGAAGCTTACCCCGGTGATGTGTTCTACCTTCACTCCCGTCTTTTGGAGCGTGCCGCCAAGATGTCTGACGCCCTTGGTGGTGGTTCCCTGACTGCCTTGCCAGTCATTGAGACCCAAGCCGGTGATGTATCCGCTTACATTCCCACCAACGTAATTTCCATTACCGATGGACAAATCTTCTTGGAAACCGAATTGTTCTACAAGGGTATCCGCCCAGCCATCAACGTCGGTCTGTCCGTATCCCGTGTCGGATCCGCTGCCCAAACCAAGGCCATGAAACAAGTAAGCATACACGAAAAGAATATAAATATAAAATAAGAACTAAAATGATATTGTTTTACAGGTCGCTGGTTCGATGAAATTGGAGTTGGCCCAATACCGTGAAGTAGCCGCCTTCGCCCAATTCGGTTCCGATTTGGATGCCGCCACTCAGCAACTCTTGAACCGTGGTGTTCGTCTTACTGAATTGCTTAAGCAAGGCCAATACGTCCCAATGGCCATCGAGGAGCAAGTCGCCATCATCTACTGCGGTGTCCGCGGTCACTTGGACAAGGTCGATCCCAGCAAGATCACTGAATTCGAAAAGGAATTCTCCAACCACATCAAGTTCGTCCTTAATTTAATATATGACATATTAAAGATATCTAATGTTTACCTATTTTCAGGACCAGCCACCAGACTTTGTTGAGCACCATTGCCAAGGAAGGCCAAATTTCAGAAACATCTGATGCCCAATTGAAGAAGATCGTGCAAGACTTCATCGCCACTTTCTCCGCTTAAATCTAATTAAAAACTACATTCTTTTTTTTAAGTGGAACGTATTTTCAACCGACGTACGAAATGTAACATTTAGTGAATTAATGTTTTTTTCTTCTAATTAATGGCATTTTGGCGTCGGTTGGAAATCACTTAGGTGCCAGGATAGTAAACAGTGGAGACATTTCTATAAGAACGAACATTCGACATTTAATTTGTTATATAAATAATTATTATTTCCGTGCCCCCCACGCAACATCTTTTTTTTGTTTAAACTTACTATTTAACTCCATACTTGGAAGAAAAATGTATGTTATACAAATATAGTATAAAAATTTGATGATTTTTATTAATTTTAGTAAATATTTTTCATTCTTTTCCTCCAGTTTAATTCATCAAAAGAAATAAATCAAATATTAAAATTGTTCTCGACGAGAAAAGAACACATGATTTAAAAATAAACTAGTCTCAATTTATCAATTGTCATTTTCATAACGCGTACAGATAAATTGATAATTGTGTATTTATATCATTGAAAATCAAAAACATCTATAAAGTAGTAATTATTAAACAATTGAGAATAAACCTTTACAATTAAGGATCGGATGGACACTATGATTTATCTCTTAGTTCTACCATTGTGGAGCTTAGTATTACAAATATTTGAATAATTCAGTTTTAATATGAAATTCAACTAATCTCGTACTAAAATATGTAAAAAAAATACTGATTAAGAAGTAACAGGAACAGATTTATTCTTCAGTGGGAGTGGAGAATTACTAGTATCATAATCAATACAATAAATATTTTATCTAATATTTTTTATGGGGTTTCTTAATCTTAGGGCATATGTCCCTTTGTTAGACTAAATACCCCTGATAAAAGTAGACAATAACAACCTAGATAATTGTTGTTGGTTACATGATTATTTAAAATTAACTTCAGTCTTTCCGCAAAACAAATAAGATAATATTCTGATGTTATTACAGTTTTTACACATTTTTAAATTATCACTTCGTTTTTACATAAGGAACGTATACTTAGTTTGTATATTTCGTCTAACCTCTAACTGCTATACCATAAATAAGTTAGTCATTTTCAAAATAAGTCTTTGTATTTCAAATGTTTTTTTTAATTCTGTTTATTTTGCAAATCCGCATATTCGTTCCATGTTAAAACCAAGTCTTTGTATAATATTGATTTTGTAAATTATGTTTGTTCCTTGAATGCTCAGATAAAATTACTTCCAGACATTGATGACTGTACGAATTTCGATAAAAAAAAATGCATAGTAGACCGTTTTCTTCGTACAAAACCGAACAATATTTTCTGTTGCATTAAAATAAATGAACTCTTTTATATATAGTTAACATTTAATTCTGATACATTAGTTTATAACGATTGTTTATTTCTTTCGTTAAAAAATAAACAAATATTGACACCGATTTATGAAAACCTAACAAATTTAATAATTAAGCGAATGTTATTTATAATAATAACATTTATTATAGAAAATAAAAAAACAAATTGATCTGCTACAAAGGGTCTTTCTGCCCGTTATTTATAATTACTTCAATCGTAATAAAGAATGTTTATAGAATGAATCAAAGTGAAATATAACCGTAAACACTACGATATTGTAAACAAAAACACATGATAAATGAGTTCAATTACAATGGAATGTTTCTAGTATTGTAAGCTGTTATATAAAGATAAATGCATTTAATATTAATATTTTTAGCAAAAGATTTAATGATATAGCAAGCAAATATTGTTGTGTCACGAAGTCTCTTAATCTGTGTCCCGGTATTAATAAATCTCTGGACACCGTGGATTATCTCATAGTTATGTCGTTGTGGAGTCTTAGAGGGGTTTTTCAATATTAAATGCAATATTCTTAATTAGTTTTATTCTACATATCAGTGTTCTTATTGAGAAGTCAACTATACAAGTGTTGATCTCATAAATTATTAACTAAGAGTTACATTCTCTTCTTAAGATAACAATTAGGAAGTAATTGTTCTTCCCTGGACCAACCAACTAACTCAACTAAGACTAAATTATATAATACAAAAATGTATCCATTTCTGAAAGGGGCTGCGTTCGAGTATTATGAGTTTTCGCAATGTGGAAATTACAACATCTAAGTTTTATGACCCTACCCAAATATTTAAGTGCGGAAAAAGACTCTTGAGTGTTGACAAAATAGACGATTTAATGTGTAACCGTTCTTCGGAATATTCCACAAGTTATTCTAAATAATCACGAACCAGTATCCGTTTGTATATTTGTTCGTAACGTGCAATATGATATGTATTAATTGAGAGGAAAGTGGTAGAAATAACAAATATACATATTAATTATATAATAGATGATATTACAATTGTCGGTCTCTACAACGCCTTATTGTATAAAAACAAGTACAAAGAGGACAAAACTTAAACAATCCCATTGATACGTAAGAATGCGGATACTTTTATAAACTTATAAGAATCAAATAATCGATACTCATATAAACAAATGTAAGGGAATTGACCTGGGCGGATTTAGAATAAACGCTTATTCATGAATATAAATAAATACAATCCGTATTAATTACAATTAAGAATTAACCTCGTAACTAAAGTACGTATTTAGAATTAGTCTGAGAAGAACCTTACGAATAAAGTTATGTAAAACCAAACGAATTTCATTAAATTCCCATCCCTACAACACAACAATATAAGAATTTTAATGTAAATATCTGTGTTAAAAATGGAATTGGCTGGTAATTTTTTTGTTATAAATATGAAATTTCTTTAAAACGTTATTACATTAAATAATTATTATTGAAATCACTACATAATTGTATAGTTTGTACATGTTATTAAATATTTTTATAATTTTTTAAAATATTTATCAAACAGAATAGTTATATTTTATTTCACTAACAGATGTCGCTTCACAATACATTTATTTTGAATGTACGATAAACTACTTATATACGTATAAAATCCAATAATTAATCATATTATATAATATAATCGATATTATTAGTGTTAAATAGGTAATTTTGGTTAGTTAGTTAGTGAAAAAAAACTGTCGAACTGATCCAATTCGATTTTCAAATGGTATGACGTTGGCAGTACGCTTGCGCCATTAGTGTTTGTTATTTTTTTATTGCACTCTTTCTCTTCGTCGAATTCCCGGCTAAAAAAACCGCAAAATTTCGTTGGATCTTCGAGAGCGTGCTTCGAAGAGCAGACATTTTTATTTCGGTCACTTCGAATTTACACAAAGAGTAAGTGAATTATATTAATGCACTTCTGTTAAATATTTTTTTTTTGAAAATTCCTGAACAATGCAAAATTGCATGACTGAAATAAATGACCCTTGCACTTTTTTTTTTTAGGGCAGCAATGGATGAAGGCTGGGATGAATCTCCAGTAATGGTGAGTACATGGGTATAAAATTATTGACTTATTTGTTTAAAAAAAAACAAATGACAAGCATGTTTTTACACATGTAAGAGATGAGTGTTGCAAGCAGTATTTGATGATCAATTGTTTTTTTTTTTAAATTCAGGATTATGCTGCTGGTGTTAAATCCAATGAAGGCAGTGCTTTTTCAAAAGGTAGAGGTTTTGCTATATCCCAGGAGGCGAGTAGTGATCCTTTCAACAACGATACTTGGGGTGATAATGGAGATTCTAATTGGGGAGGCAATGCTGATGGTGGCTCGAATCAAGACAGAGATTATCGTGGTGGTTCATACAACAATGATGAAGGTGACAATGATGGTTCATCAAACAGAGGAAGAGGTTAGCGAATATTCTAAATATATTTTCTTTATATAATATAATATAAACCACTGATAATTTTATTGCTTATTTATGTGATGTATATTGTAAATATCATAGCAATACATTTATTTATATGGAATGTTTATCTTAGGTAGAGGAAGAGGCAGAGGTAGAGGCGGCGGCCGTGGAGGTAGGGGAGGCCGAGATAATGCAGGATATTCAAATGGTGGTGGTGGTGGCGATTACGATGATCAAAACGATGATGGTTCTAATGAAAAACGTAAATTATTACCTTCACATGTAAATTAGTTACAAGTACTAAGTTGTCTTTTTACAGGAGAACAAAAGCCTAAGGATATCTATGTCCCAGAGCATCTAGCAGATGACGAATTGTTCAATACTGGCATATCCTCTGGTATCAACTTTTGCAAATATGAAGATATCAGTATTAATGTAAGTTATAAAATCATTAGCTTTGACTTTTTACTAATATTTTTCTTTCTTTTTTTTTATTTAGATAACAGGGGAGGATTATCCGCAGGGTATCAATTCTTTTGAGGAAGCCGGTTTGCGCCCCATTGTGTTAGAAAATATAAAAAAATCCGGCTACAATAAGCCGACGCCGATCCAAAAACACTCGATTCCGATAATCGCGAAAGGTCGTGATTTGATGTCTTGTGCCCAAACAGGTTCTGGAAAAACGGCAGCTTTCCTCTTGCCCATCATTAACAAGTTATTGTCTGACAAGCCACTTGTGATAGAAGGTGATCATGTTGAACCTCAGGCACTAATTGTCTCGCCAACCAGAGAACTTGCTATTCAGATTTATGAACAGGCTAGAAAATTTGCACTGAGAAGCTTTCTCAAAATAGTCGTCGTATATGGAGGAACTAGTGTCAACTATCAACTTTCACAGATTATGAAGGGATGTCACATCTTGGTTGCCACGCCAGGCAGATTAAGGGATTTTGTTGAAAAGGGAAACATTAGTTTTTCGTCTGTGGAATGCGTTATATTGGATGAAGCAGATAGGATGCTTGATATGGGTTTTATGCCTGTTGTTGAAGAGATACTAACTCATCACACTATGGTCAAGACTG